TAGAAAGCAGAGGTGCCCTCTTCCTTCTGACCCTTCCCTCCCCCAGCGATTTTTCAATCTCCTGGAAAAAGATTCTTCAGTAACCACAAGGAAGGAAAAATTTAAGGAATATCTTACCTATTTTCCTGTCAGCGTTTAAGGAAAATCTTAGACTCATTTTCCTATCAGCATGGAGGTATGGGAGCTTAAAGGTAGATTGAATTTTAATTCAAGAAAATGACACCAATGTGTCATTCATTTTGTTTGTGGAGCTTTCATGTTGTTTATGTATGGTGCCTGAAAATACTGCCCCTTGTACTATGTACTAAGTACTATGATTTAATAGATATAGGCTTTATTCTCTAAAAAATCAAGGGTTCTCTATCAGTCCCTTTAAAGACAAGACCAAAGTTGAAGAGTCTCGAGGACCCACTCTCCAGGTGAATGTGTTGCTTAAAAATAAAAGGTTAGTAACTCTAGAAATAGACCCATCCATATATAGCCTGTTGATGTTTTACCAAGATGCCAAGGCAGCCCAACGGGGAAAGGAAAGTCTTTTTAATAAATTTTGTTGAAAAATTTTGATATTCATATGGGAAAAAGTGATCTTCAACTTCCACGTCATTTCATGCATAAAAATTAATTTGAGCTGAATTATAGATTTAAATGTAAGATCCAGAACCATAAGCTTCTGGAAGAAAATATAGGACTTGATCTTCATGATCCCGTGGTGGGCAATGATTTCTTGGACAGAACCCCAAAATTGTTAACCATCAAGTAAGAAAATAGATAACTTAGACTTTATTAAGATTAAAATTTCCTGCTCATCAAAAGATACTGCTAAGAAAATCAACAGATAAGCCTGGACAGATTGGCAAAAACATTTGCAGCATATATATTTGACAAAAGACTTTAATCCAGAATACACAGGACTTTTACAAATCAACAATAAAGAGATGAACAGTCCCATTGTAAAATGGGCAAAAGCTGAGGCAGGAGGATTTGCTTGAGTCCAGGAGTTTGAGGCCAGCTTGGACAATATATTGAGATCCTGTCTCTACAAAATAAAAATTAAAAAATTAGCCGGGCATGGTGGCATGTGCCTGTTTTCCCAGACACTTGGGAGGCAGAAGTGGGAGAATCGCTTCACCCCAGGAGTTCAAGGCTGCAGTGAGCTATGATTGCACCACAGCACTCCAGCCTGGGAGACAGAGTGAGACTCTGCCTCAAATTAAAAAAAAAAAAAAAAAAAAAAATTTAGGCCAGGCGCGGTGGCTCACGCCTGTAATCCCAGCACTCTGGGAGGCCGAGGCGGGCAGATCACGAGGTCAGGAGATCGAGACAATCCTGGCTAACGTGGTGAAACTCCGTCTCAACTAAAAATACAAAAAATTAGCCGGGAGTGGTGGTGGGTGCCTGTAGTCCCAGCTACTCAGGAGGCTGAGACAGGAGAATAGTGTGAACCCAGGAGGCAGAGCTTGCAGTGAGCCGAGATCGCGCCACTGCACTCCAGCCTGAGTGACAGAGTGAGAGTCTAAATAAATAAATAAATAAATAAAACAATTTTTAAAACTTTAAAATATGAGCAAAAGACTTGAACAGATGCTTCACAAAAGAAGATATGTTAATGACAGTAAGCCATGAAAAGGTGCTCAGCATCTCTTGCCATCAATCATCATGCAAGTCAAAACCACAGTGAGTCACCATGTCATACCTGCTAGAAGGACTTAAAGCAAGGAACACAATAGGACAAAACAACTCTCCCTTCCCCTGCCAAACTGACAACACCAAATTTGGGGAAGAATCCAGAGCAACTGGAATTCTCGTTTATTGCTGGTGGGAATGTGAAATGGTACAACAGTTTTGGGGAACTACTGTAGTTGACAGTTTTGTATAAAGGTAAAGATATGTTTAATCTTATGATGCAAATACTGCATTCCTACGTGATATGGTTTGGCTGTGTCCCCACCCAAATCTCAGCTTGGATTGTAATTCTCATAATCCCCACGTGTCGTGGCAGGGACCTGCTGGGAGGTAATGTAATCATGGAGGCTGTTACCCTAATGCTGTTCTTATGACAGTGAATGAAATCTCACAAGATCTGATGGTTTTATAAGGGGCTTACCCCCTTTTGCTTGGCACTTCTCCTTGCTGTCACTATGTGAAGAAGAACGTGTTTCTTTCCCCTTCTGCCATGATTGTAAGTTTCCTGAGACCTCTCAAGCCATGCTGAACTGTGAGTCAATGAAACCTCTTTCCTTTATAAATTACCCAGTCTCAGGTATGTCTTTATTAGCAGCATGAGAACAGACTAATACACTACATATTTACCCAAGATAACTGAAAACACATGTGCCCATAAGGATTTGTACATGACCACAACAACAGCTCTTTTCATAATGGACACAATTGGAGATAACCCTAATGTTTATCAACAAGAGATTAGGTAAATTGTGACACATTCATATAATGGAATTCCACTCAGTAATAATAATTAAAAAAAACTACTGATTCATGCAACAATGTGGATGAACATTATGCTGAACTCAAAAAGCCAGAACCAAATGAATGCAAATTATATGATTCCTTTTATATGAAATGCAAAAATAGGCAAAACTTCACCGTGGTGATGTAAATCACAGCAATTGCTCTGTGGGGTGAGAGTGGGATTGCCCAGGAGGCAGCAGAAGGAAATTTCCCAGAACGATGGAAATGTCCTATGTTTTGATTGAAGTGGTGGTTACATGGTATATAATTGTCAAAACTCATTAGACTAAACACTTAAGATCTGCGCATTTTACTGTTTTTATTATACCTGTGTAAAAATAAAATGTTGGCAAATGAGAATATTCAGCCTTGAGGATTATTAATATGGATTTGACTTCTCTCAATGGTGTCCTGGGAGGCAGAGACAAATGCATAATTCACGAAGGCAAAATGCAGGAAGGACAAGAAGTCACATTTCCTCCTGTCTAAAAGCCCTCCACATGTGGCGTGTGCTGTGTGTGGACTTGCTGGTGGAACACAGAGAGAGGTTATACGTGTTGTTCTTTGAATACTCACTGCATTGGGATAGGAGGAAGAACGAAATCAGTCATTCAAATATATGTCTATTCATATATTCAGCTGACTGAATATGTCATTCAGATGGCATATATTCCTCTGTGCCATGTCTCCCTTTCAATGGAGCTTACACCTGTAGATGTGGGTCTTCTCCACACCTGTCTCTGTCCTCCACGTCTGTCAGAATTGCAGAAGGGAAGAAATGGCAGCCGCACCAGCTTCCCTCTTCATCCGACTTAGGATCCCCACCGGCAGCCCAGTGCTCACTCCACACTTGGTAAATACCCTATACTTGTATGTTCCTAAGTTCCTCCAGATGAAAGAAGGTGGCCCCTTCTTCTAGGACTGTTTGGGGAGCAGCACTGTGTGAAGCTCTGTGGGGCCTCTCCGAGGTATAAGAGCTCATAGTCATGTATGTCTTCTTGCCCTCCTCCCCATCTTCAGACAACTCCTGCCCACTTGCACAAGGTTGAATCCCAGGTAGTGTGAACTGAAGAGTAGTAAGCAAGGTCCTTCCCAGTCCTTTCGCAGAGAACTTGAAGTCTACTTGAAGGCACAAAGAGCAAAGTAACAACAGCAAAGAGCACAAAGAGCGAGGTAACACAAAGAGCAATGTAACAAGAGCACAACTCTCCCTTTGGTGAGTGTAGCATACATGGGGTAGACATCACTGGGTGGCTGATGCTCTGACCTGGGTCTTCAAGGAGAAAAGGACAATGAGGATTGCATATGGGGCAGAAAAATCAGTCTGGATGGAGAGGGAACTCCTATGTGCACAAAATAACACAGGGTAAGCAAGGCACTGAATGAGTGACAGAGACATTTGGACAGAGGCGGTGTGGTGTGCTAGAAAAATTAATCAGACATTGGTATAAGACTAAGAAAGATGACTATACCACTGCAAGTCTTCACCTAGGACCTTGCAAAAATGTTTAACTTAGCCAGAACTCCAGTGTCTCTGAAGGTCAAGTATGATCGTTAACAAAAAATGATTTTTAAAAGTTGTTATAGATACGGTTTCTTTGTTCAGATAATTTCACTCATCTGAACTTCTGGCTGATAGGTATTTCTTATTAAAATATGATCGCTTTATTGTTGCTTTTACTCAACTAACATTGTTTTTCATCTTTTAGAGATAGCAGTACCTCTTTTTGCAAAGCGTCTCACTGCTTTTTGAGTGTTTCCATGAATGTGAGTTCATGGGAGCCTTACAACATCTCTCGTTAGAGAGGACAGTCTGAGGTTCACAGAGATAAGGCGGGCGGCCCAGTGAGGCCGCGCTGTGAGTGAAGGCCAGGGCAGAGGTTCAGAGGCAGGTCTTCTGCTTTCCAGACTGTCTGAGATTAGGACCTCAGTGTTTCTGGACCTTGTACCTGGGTCGTGGTTTTCTGTTTTCCTTTGATACGGACTTGATCATTTCTCCGTACTGAATTGTGTTTGACAACCAGGGTGCCAGGACCCTGTTGTAAACCTGTAGGAGCTCTATTTTGATAAGACTAGCCATAATTTATTGCTGCTTTAACCTCTCTGTTGCTTAGGCAACCAATATCCTGAATTAAGACTTGGGTTATTTTAGTTAAGTTTAAGAATTTATTACCTTCTAACCACTCAGCCCACCACTTTGCTCATGCTCCATGCCTATGAGTCACACTGACCCCCAAAGAGTTGCCCCAAACTCTAAGACCTGTGCTCAGGGGCACGTGAAGAGCTGGGACACGTGCCTTGTGACTCAAACTGACAGGGCCTGCTAATGTCCTTACTAAGTGCACCAAAGGGAATGGGCCAAGGAACGCTCCATGTTGATTTTTCAGCTGCCTGCCCTTTATTGCTGGATTACTATCTACCGCAGAATAGGCCAGCTTATTTCACAATAATGAAGCTGGCACTGGGTTAATTCTGTAACATAGAAAGATTGCCAGTGCCAGTCTGTTCCGGCTGCTATAACAAAATAGACTGGGTGGCTTATCAACAATAGAAATTTATTTCTCATGGTTCTGGAGGCTGGCAGGTTCAAGATCCAGGCAGATTGGGTGTCTAGTGAGAACCCACCTTCTGGCTCATAGATGGCACTTTCTTGCTGTGTCCTCATGTGGTTGAAGGAGAAGGCAGCGCTCGAGGGTGTCTTTTATAAGGGCACTAATTCCATCCGACCTAATCACCTGCAAAAGGACCCCCTTCCTATTGCCTTAGGGGTTAGAATTTCAACATATAAATCTTGTGGGTTTAGTGAGGAAAACAAACACACAATCAAAACTTTCCCGGACTGCTTGTAGCAGCATCGAGTCCTCTTGCTCTTCCATCTTGTTTAAACGTCCCTTCTTTCCCAACACCACTCTGCCACTCTGTCCTGAGCTCCCAGCACTGCTTGGCTGGACGACTGTGCTCATTTCTGGACTTCCTGCCTTCACCTCTTCCCAGCACATCGTTCACCAAAGCAACATTTCTTTGCAGTCTGCTCTGACCGGCATTCTGGGGATACTGAATAGCTCACAGTCCTATAGAAGAGAAAGACGAGTAAGCAGTAATTGCAATGCATTTATTAGACCATAACCTCCTAGGACAGGTCATGTTGGTCTTGCTCTCTGTACCTAGTATTTGTTGAATAAGGAAATGAATAAACAAATGAACAATTTCTATAGGTTATAACTAAACACATATCCAAAGAGCTATGAAAATCTCCAGAAGACAGAAACTGACTGAGTTGGCAGAGGAAAGAAAGGGATGTGCTTAATTAGGATGCAGTCCTTTTGAGAGACTACAATTTATGTATTTCCTGTATGCATAGACCAGGCATTCATAAATATGGTCACTTTTTAATAGAAATATGTTATATTTTGGAAACATCTTCCTATACATTTTATTTACTCATGGGACAAAAGTAATGCTCTCCTTTAAATAGCAGCTTTTTGGGGACCTGTAATGGTTAATTTATAAACCTTTACTTACTTGCTAGAAAGTCTCAGACAGGGTCAGAAAGAAATTGGAAAGAGCCGCCTGTAATCCCAGCACTTTGGGAGGCCGAGGCAGGCGGATCACCTGAGGTCAGGAGTTCAAGATGAGCCTGGCCAACTGGTGAGACCCCTTCTCTTCTAAAAATACAAAAAAAAATTAGCCAGGTGTGGTGGCAGGCACCTGTAATCCCAGCTACTTTGGAGGCTGAGCCAGGAGAATCCCTTGAACCCAGGAGGCGGAGGTTGCAGTGAGCAGAGATTGCGCCATTGCACTCCAGCCTGGGCAACAAGAGTGAAACTGCATCACAAAAACAAACAAAAAAGAAATTGGAAAGTGCCAAGTATAACTATCAGTTGTGGTTCAATCAGAATGCAAATAAGTATCTTTGGGTAAGTCAAAGGAAAACTATACTTTGATTTACCCAACACTTTGATTTCAAAAATACATTGACCCATTAACAAACAATTTTAGAGAGGCTTAAATACTAGTGGATATGTTATTTTAAGCCAGTAATATATTAAGAAATGTCATGAGTCTATAAATGTAGCAATTGCACATGGCTGGCATAGAAATCTCAACTTCAATATGTGATGTTCAAAGTCCAATTTAAAGGGATTTTAATAATTAACCATAATTAATAACTAAGGTAAGGTTTGTTGTATCTTGAATCTTAAATGGTTGCCATGTGTCTGTTTATTAAAAATAGAGTTTCCTTTTTTTCTTTCTTCATTCACCTTAGGTTAAGTAAAAATCTATTATAGCAAAAATGCAACAGTGGCATCCTGTGGCTTGGCCTATGAATGACAGGTGCGTGTCACCATTATGATCTTGGAGGCTTGGTGTCATGGCTACACAGAGGTACAGGATCATTGTGAAGAACATGGCATATCAGAAGGAAAAACTCCATTAGTTTTTTTAAGACCTAAAATTATTACGAATGACTCATTATGGTCTTTTATCTTTATTTCATGGGAGTAAATTACATGTGTAATTAAAAATTGAATTGAGAATAAAGCCACAGAAATGTACTTGTTTTTTCAAAAGCTTATTTTTCAGGATTCCTTGATGAAGTTTCCCTCTGTCATTTTTATACATAGAATATACCATTATTTCTCTCACGTAATTCTTAGGTAAGTGTAGGAAATGGAGTAAAAGAATCCATATTAGACCATTAATAACTGTACACTCCCCACCCCTCCTCCCACCCCAGAAATAAATACAACTAAATCTCAGAAGCCCTTTGATTGTGATGCTTGGCTACTGAGCCCTCTAGGCTGGAAAGATGGCACTATCATATTTAGCAGTGCATACTTCCAGCTTCAAACTTTAAAAAATAGTTTAAAAAATCTTCATAAACAACATACAGTTATACTTTTTCTTATTTAAAATGTTTACATAAGTAGAATTACGATATTCACATTCCATGACGTTTTGTACTCAAGATATGGTTGAGGTCTCACGTACGCTTATCTTGTGTGAAAGAATGTATGGAATATGAATGCCATAATTCTACTTATGTAAATTGTAAAAATAAGAACAAATATATATAATGAAGACCTTTGGATTTCTGCTTCTGAGGACTTCCTGTTCTCCTTCCCTCCACTTTCCTATGGGCTTGCTTCTGTTATTTATCCGAGTTCTCTCTCCATTAAAGATAAATTCTCTGATAAGATATAGTAAGTATATCTTTATTAATTCCTTTGTTATCGATCCTGCAAATACCTTCTCGAGGCCTGTTTTTTCCTCTCTCACGTTGATGGGATATGTTTTGTTATAAAGATGTTTTCTGTTCTGCAGGTTGCGTGTCAGTTACAGTTGTCATTTGTAAGCAGTAAAATCCGGTCTGACCAGTTTAAGCAGAAAAGAACTTAGGAGAGACAGAGAGACAGTAGGGAGTTCACACAGCGTTTGGGACAGATGGGAAAAGAGGCCTGAGACAATTAAAGGGACACTCCTATAACTAACTGACCCTTTCTGGAATCTGCTGTCCACCCCAGGACCACACTGCCTTTGCCCAGGATGCGCCAGTGAAATGACAGCGGCTCCGGGAGGCGCGCTGCCCGCCGGCTCCCTCCCTCTGCCCGAGGCCGCGGTGTCTGATTGGCAGGCCTGGTCACGTGCCCGCTTTGACTGTGAAAGAGTCAGGGAAGGCACCGATTCAGATTCTCCCTTGAGGAAACAACCAAAATTCACACAAGGTGGCCTAAAAAACTTGGCAGATTCACTTTGGGCCATAAAGATATTCTTCAAACTTAAAAAAAAACAAAAACAAAAAAACTAAAAAGTATCTTCATGAACAACGTACAGTTATGCTTTGTCTTATTTAAAAATTTTACATACATAAAATTATGATATTCACATTCAATGAAATTTTGCACTCAAGATGTGGTTGAGGTCTCACATCTCGGTAGTGTGTAGTTGCGATTTTTCATGCTGAGGTCTTTAATTCTTCTGGAATTGTTGTATAATTAGTGTAGGATTCTAGTTATAGTTTTTATATGAAAAGCCAATGCTTCCATCATCATTGATGACACAAGCTCATCTTTCCCTGCTGATCTGTGGTGCCGCCGCTATCATATTCCACATCCCACGTAGCCCCTACGTATGAATCCTGCATGAACACGGATTTGCACCAGGCTCTCTATTCCGTCCACTGCCTCTTCCTCTGCCCAGACAACTGTATTTTAATTTCTGTAACTATCTAGAATGTTTCAGAATCTGCAGGCCAACCGCTCCTGCCCACCCATTGTTCTTATTTTTCAAAATTATCTTGGCAATGAAAATTCACTTTTCCATATGAATTTTAGAATCACGTTAGAAATGAGCAGAAAAGTTCTGCTGGGATTTTGTTTGGAATTTAGTTAAATTTATAGATAATTTGAGCAGAATTGACATGTTCATGCTTTTGAGACCTCTTACCCATTATTCAGATCTTCTTTTATATCCTTTAATAAAACTATAATTTTTTCCCATAAAGCTCTTAAAAATTGTATGTAATGTATATTCTTTAGGTCCTTTATAGTTTTTGCTGCTATTGTGAGCTGGCTTTTTTGTTTTTTGTTTTTTTTTCCAATTTTTTCCCGTTTGTCATTGTTCACATATAGGCCAAAAGTTACTGAATTTAGCATGTTGATCTTGTAATCAGTAGCCTTGCTGAATCCTTTGGTTAGTTCTAACAGATTTTCTGTTGATATCTATGCATTTTCTTTTTTCTTTTCTTTCTTTCTTTTTTTTTTTTTTGGAGACGGAGTTTTGCTCTTATTGCCCAGGCTGGAGTGCAATGGTTCGATCTTGGCTCACTGCAACCTCTGCCTCCTGGTTCAAGTGATTCTCCTGCCTCAGCTTCCTGAGTAGCTGGGGTTGCAGGCACACGCCACCACGCCTGGCTATTTTTTTGTATTTTTAGTAGAGATGGGGTTTCACCATGTTGGTCAGGCTGGTCTCAAACTCCTGACCTCAGGTGATCCACCTGCCTCGCCCTCTCAAAGTGCTGGGATTACAGACATAAGCCACCACACCCCACCCATCTATGCATTTTCTATGCCTAAAAATAATAAGTTTCACTTCCTTTCCAAACCTCATGCATTTTATTTATTTGTTGCTTACTGCATCCGCTAGTATTTTCTGTGTAAATTTGACTGGGGTGGTGATGCCCGCCCTGCTTGCCTTTTCTTGGTTTTAATGGGGATAATCCAGAAAGATGTGATATGATTGCTTTAGGTTTTTAGTAAAAACCCTTCATCAAATTAAGGAAGTTCTCTTCTGTTTCAAGCGTCCTAAGAGTTTTTCTTTTAGATAAGAGAAGGTGTTGAATTTATGGAATAAAATATGTCATTTTATTTCTTTTTGATCTATAAATGTGGTAAAGTTCTCCTGATGGATATTTCTGACATTCTTACATTACTGGGAAACATCAAAATTAGTTATGATCATTAAAAAAAATACTCTGTTTGGATTCAATTTGCTAATATTTATTCAGGAATTTTAATCTACATTATAAGTGAGATCACCCTATAGTTTCTGTCTCTTGTGCTGTCCTTGTTTCATTTTGCTGTTAATTCTACACTGTCTAAACTCAGTGGCCTGCTGTCCTTTTCTATTGTATGTGAAGCTTATATAAGGTAGCAATGATCTTTTCCTTAAAGTTTTGATGGAATTCACTGCTGAAATCAGCTAAAACTAGTGTCTTTTTGGGGAGGTGGCTTGAGGGCAGGTATATTTGACTGTCAAATCAATTTATTTAATGCTAATTGTTTTATTCAGTTTTTCTTTTTTAAAATTCAGCCCATTTCAGATAGACATAAAATTGTGCCACAGATTCCCTTATGATTTTCTTGTTTCTGCTGCATATGTGGTTACATTATATTTTTCTATTCCTGATGTTTATTTGTTCATTTTTCTTTATTTATCAGCCTTAATGGGGATTTATTTTATTAGTGTCATTTTTCTTTTCTAAGACTCATTCTGTCATTTCTATTTTACTTTTCTTATTTTTTTGTTTTTATTTTTAATATTTCTTTCCATCACATTTTTTTTTTTTTGCCTAAACTCTGTTGTTCTTTTTCTGTCTTCTTGAATTGACATGAGTTCATTTATTTCATCTTTCTTATGGTTCTAAAAATATTTTTAGCTCTATAAATATTTCCTTTATTGCTGTACCCTAAGTCTTTGTATTTTTTCTGTGCTTTCATTAATAATGAGTTTTAAAATATTTTATTTTTAACAGCTTCATTGAGGTATATTTCACACCCTATACAACTCATCCATTTAAAGTGTATCATTCAATGGCTTCTAATATATTCACAGAGTTGTTGATATGGTTTGGCTGTCCCCACTCAAATCTCATCTTGAATTGTAGCTCCCATAATTCTCACGTGTTGTGGGAGGGACCCAGTAGGAGCTAACTGAATCATAGGGGTAGTTTCCCCCATACTGTTCTCGTGGTAGTGAGTTTCATGAGATCTGATGGTTTGATAAGGGATTTCTCTTTCTGCTTGACTCTCATTCTTTCTCTTGCCTGCCACCATGGAAGATGTGGCTTTGCTACTCCTTGACTTCTGCCACGATTGTGAGGCCTCCCCAGCTACGTTGAATTTTGAGTCAATTAAACTTCTTTTTTAAAATAAGTTACCCTGTCTCAGGTGTGTCTTTATCAGCAGTGTGAAAACGGACTAATAAAGTTGTACAACCTATCATCACAATCAGCTTTACTTACTCAGTTATCAGTTGATGGATACTTAGGTCGTTTCCAGTTTGGGCTATTAGAAATAATGCTGCTATGAACATTTGTGTGCAAGTTTTTGTGGACATGTGATTCATTTGGCATGAGTATATATGAGGAGTAGAATTGCTAGGTCATGTGGTAACTCTGTGTTTAAGCTCTTCAGGAACTGAAGACTGTTTCCAAATGACTGTACCATGTCAGTGTAAGAGGGTTCTAATTTTTTCAACATCTTCACCAATGCTTGCTATACCTGTCTTTTTTACTATAATCATCTTAGTGGTTGTGAAACAATATTTTGTTGTGATTTAATTTGCATTCCCCTGATGAATATTTAAGGATACTCTGTGATACTGGGTTGATCATTCTATTTCTAGGTGACTTCATTTCTAGGTATTTTTTCAGTGGACAGAGCTTCCTAAGAAGTATAGTTCCTAAAAAATTAGTTTTTAAAGAGAAAAATCATCATAGGATACTCAAATTTCCATTTTAAATTTAAGATCACAGGGTTTTATTCTTTGGTTTGTATTTGGATCTCTTTTTCTCTCACATTGAAAATCTGGTTTCTAATGACATTAGCATAATTACATATTTGTTTCATTCTACAAAATACATATAATAGTTTCACAAGAACAAAACCAATATTTAAAAATTTTGTTCTATTCTTTTTGTCCTTATTGTATGCCAAACTGGATGTACAATTAGATTACTGCAATGCACCAAATTGGTGGTTCTTAACAGGAAACAGCTGCAATCCTAAAAATCTCTGAGAAGCGTCCATCAGCTGTCTAAGCATGCAGCAATGAAGCAGGTGGTTCTCAAGTATTTACTGGGCATATCAGGTCTGCCCAAACACCTGGTTACATCCTTATTTGGAGACTGATAGCCTCAACTCTTCCTCTACCTATCAGATTTCTTGGGACTGCAAGTAATACAGAGAAGGGGATTCTGGGAAATGCAGTTTCAGGCTTCTACTTTACACATTTCAGAGAAGACTGTAGGAGGAAGTGGTGCTGATGCCAAGCTGATACAGACACAGACACATCCATTCAGTGTGTCAATCTTTATATGTCTTCTCTTGTCTTACTAACCTCCAGGAAAATGTTGAATGGAAGTACTGAGAGTGAACATCTTTGTCCTGTTCTTGATTTTATAGGGCATGCTTCCAACAATTCTTTTGTAAGGATGTGTTTTGTACATACTTTCTCAGGTTAAGGAGGTTTATTCACTTCTAATCCTAGTTTACTATGATTTTTTTTTTTTTAATCATGAGTTAGTGTTGAATTTATCAAATGCTTTATCTGTAACCTTGAAGCAATCATATGTTTTTCTTCCTTAATCTTTTAAAGTAGTAAATATCATTTGATTATCTTTTCATCCTGAACCATCCTTGCATTCTTGGGATAAATCCAAAATGATTTTTAAAAAATGGATCTCTGGATTTAGTTTGTTAATATTATGTTAAGACTTTGATAATGTCTGTGATTGAGATTGGCTTGTGATTTTCCTTTATCTTCCCCTTGTTTGGTTTTGGCATCCAGGTTTTACTAGTTTTATGGAATCCTTACTACAGCCACAGGCCCTGCATGAGAGAGGCCATCACTACTTCTCTGATCTCATTTCCTACCACCCTCCCTGTTACACACTCTACTCAGTCTTACAAGTTCCATGCTGTTCCTCAGACAAACGAGTGCACATCCCTGCCTGACCACCCTCTCTTAAAGCTCTTTCTCTTCAATCTCTTTCATTGTTCTGCTTAGCTCTTATCATTACCTGACATATGATCAACTTACTGTGTTCTGTCTCCCTCCTTCTTCTAAAAGGCAGTGTCTATGAGGGCAAGGACTTTGCCTGTTTTGTTCCCTGCCAT